AAGGATATTTCAGCTGACGTTCTCTAAAATCCAGGCCAGTAGAGAGTCTGGCCTACATTCAGTCACACTCAAGTTCTTTCTTGAAAAGCTGGAGTATCAGGTTTTGGGCTTAGGACCAAAAAGGGTTTTGTGTAATCTGACAAAGCCAAGGCGGCGGAGGGGGCTCCCTTTGGTCTGAACTTCAAAGGCTGATGATGTCGGCCGCTCATGCACACTGATCTGAGATCACTGTTGTGGTTTTTATTTCAAGAGCTCCAGTGGTTGAGATTTGTTCAGGAACAGCTGGTTTTAGATCAGCATAAACATGCTATTTCGTTCCTAGACTTTCTTTCTGGACCGGTCCACACAACAGAGAGTGATGTTTTGAGGAAACTGGCAAGTACTGTTCAGAAAAGTAATCAGTGAGAGAATGATAGAGATCTTGAGGAACAAACAATATTAACCAAAATCAAAAACACACACATGCTTAAGCAAAAATATATAACTGAAAGGGAAGAAAAACATTTGAGTATGAGTGCATACAGGTTTGGAAAGTCATGAGGATGAGAAAATGATGACATTTTCACTTTTGTTTATTTAAACATGAAAAATATAATTAATTGTAACTATCCGATTCTGAAAGGGAAAGGTTCTATCATCATTTACTCACTGACATGTAATTCCAAACCTATATGACTTTCTTTTTTCTGTGGAACAAAAAAGAATATATTTTGAAAAATGTCTTTTTTTTTTAATTTAATTTATTTTTTATTAGTTATTTTTGTCCATTAATCACCCTGACTTTCATTACATGGACAAAAACTTCTTAAAAATATCTTCTTTTGTGTTATGTTGAAGAAATAAGCGAATAAAAGAGAGGAAAAAGAATACATGTTAAAGGGTGAGTAAATGACCAGTTTTATTTCTGGGTGAACTACTGTATGCTTTTAAAGTTGATAGGCTGGATACTGATTGATTTTCCTTGCCAAACTCTCACAGAAAGAAATAAATTTATTGAATAGTTAATTTTCAAAATGTTTAAAGCCACGACAGCTGTTTCAGCTTTGTGGTCTTCTTACTATCAAGAATGTTATCTCAATGACCTTAATCGATTAAACAATAGAGACCCCTGAGAGGTGTGGCACCAGGTTTATAAAGATCCTTTCAGACGGCCTCAGAGCTACATGCAAATGAAAGTTTGAACCCTTTGGTCCAGGTTCAGCGTGGCTCTCCACGGACCGGAACTCCAATGGGAGTGAGGCCAAGACAAACTAGTCTACCCAAGACCGTGAGCAGCTCTCTATTGATTCAGTTTCAGTAAGCGGGGGATACCGGCTGAATGAATGGACCCAGGGGAGAGAGATGCGAGAGGATGGGAGGGAACCTCACAATATTGATGGCACAGAGCAATTTTCATAGTAGAGCATTGTTCAGGAAGCACAGCAGCCTTGGGAAAAACCAAGAGTTTAGCTAAAAGATTTAAACACGCTCAGATAAGAATTTACACTACCGTTCAAATGTTTGGGGTTGGTAAGGTGAAAGGTTATGCACACCAAGGCAACATTCATTTGATCAGAAGTACAGTAAATACTATTACATACTGTAGTACAATAACTCTTTTCTATTTGAATATATTTTAAAATGTAATTTATTTCAATTTGATGGCAAAGCTGAATTTTCAGCATCCATTACTCCAGTCACGTGATCCCTCACAAATCACTCTAATATGATTTGGTGCTCAAGAAACATTTATTATTATCAGTTTTGAAAACAGTTGTCTCAGTTAATATTTTTGAGGAAACCGTGATTTATTTTAACTGGTTATTTGATGAATAGAAGCTTCTCAAAAACAGAACATTGTAAATCTTTTTTGATCAATTAAATGCATCCTTGGTAAATAGAAGTAATATATATATATATATATATATATATATATATAAGAACCATTGGAACTATCAAAACTACCATCAAAACTAGCACATAGCAACTCCAAAAGATATCAGGACATTTATGCAATTCACAGAGAATTTTTAAGATGACTATTCACAGTACCTTCAAAAAAGAACCATAAAAATACTGTAAAAATGGCTACATTCCATTCCATTATATAAAACCATGCAATAGCTTTGTGTGAAAACAATAACAAAATGTAAGCAGCTATTTGCTGACAACATATTCAAACTTGCCATGTCAAAAATGTGGCGTGCCAGGTATAATAACATCAGTGGTAGTAAACGCCACTGACATACAGTATAACCTATTCCACAAATAACCATCAAATGTATTTATTAAAATGTCCTTGTTCCGTTGAAGAATAGCATAAAATAATGACAAAACCAGCACACTGACCTATAAACTCTTGATTTCTTTGACCGTTATCTGTATTACAGACATTCAACAAAAACTTTTGAATGCATTCTGCTGGTATTGCTTTGGGATGCGTGACTCTGTAACCGCTCTGTAAGACTCTGAGGCCCTGCAGGATCCATTAGCCTATTATGAAATTAAGGACAAGGGGGATTTTTCCATCGTTCTCTCTCCATGACCTAGAGGGAAGCCAGAGCAGCCCGCCTTCTGCCAATCGCTTCTTATAACCGCAATTTCAGCCACATTAAAAAGTTGGTTTTGAATGATATCCAGTGGTAATAAATATGCTGCCTCTGACAGATACACTAGGGTAGTCATTTAATACTATAGTACAAAAATATGGAAGCCTGCTGAAGAGATCGGATTCTGGAGGATGGGCTTCTAGTGCTGAGATATCAAGTTGCTGCAGCTCATCTTCAACTTCAATAAGTGCTTTGAACATTTGAGGAATTTTGGAATCAACGGAGGACAGACAATTCACTCCAGGAATTGGCCTTCCAGGCTGCCTCAGGCTGATTTAAAGGAATAGTTCACTCAAAAATAACAATTCTGTCATCATTTGTTCACCTTCGTAACCGCTGAAACATGTATGACTTAATTTCTTCTGGGTGAGCTATTCCTTTAAACGATTCTGTGTTTAGATTCCGTTCTTTTCTCCCATTCAGACACTCTCTGCTTCTGTTTCTCAAGCTCATTAATCCTGTAGCCCTGCATGGTTCATCTCTTCCCAACCCAAGTGAAGTTGTCATGCTTTGCCTGCACTGTAAAACAGCTGGAGTTTAACTAGGGCTGAGGAAGCCAAGTGTTTCTTACTCAAGGACAACCACATTCTGAGCAAGAATCTTTCGCCTGAATCTCTCTGAATCTTTTGTGATTAAATGACTCGTCCAATTGTGAAAATCAGTGAGTATAATTCATTGTACCTGAAAATCTGCACTCAGCTTAAACAAATAAACCAGTGATCTACAGTAAAAGAAAGGCCAGTCACACCAAGAACAATAACTTTTTTAAGGTTTTAAAAAATAATAGTGAAATCACTTTCAGAATTACCTTTTTTGCAGCTGATGAACAGTGTTGGGGAAAGTTACTTTTAAAAGTAATGCATTACGATATTGCATTACTCCATAAAAAAGTAACTAATTGCGTTAGTTACTTTTTATGGAAAGCAATGCATTACATTACTTTTGCGTTACTTTTTGTCACCTGGGCTGGGCTTGCTTATTTGTTTTTTAATAACAAAAAACCCAAAAGTTATATTTATATTGTTATATTTTAAAAAAGGTTTTTCACACCAAAAGTGAAATTGATAAGCCTCAGGCTAAAGGAAGTGTCTCATCCTTACTCGCAATTTCTCTCAACACGGGGACAGAAGTACAGTCAGTGAATAAATGGGAAAACAATGTAACTTGCGTTACTTATTTATTATTTATTAGCAATGAGCTACTAGTTACTTGAAAAAGTAATCTGATTACGTAGCCTTGCGTTACTTGTAATGCATTACCCTCTTTACTCTATGATGGTCATAATGTATTCTAGCTCTGAGTATTCATCCAAAGGAAAAGCAAGAATGTTTCCTCTAGATATTCTGAAAAACTGGCCAATTTGTTGTCATTGCATAAAAAAAAAATCTACAAAGTAAACACCCAAAGTCAATAGAACAGGCAGCAAACAAACTTCAAAATAAAGTGTCTCATAGAGAACGCCCATGAGACGGAGTCTAGACTAGTTTAGACAAAGCATTATGTTTGAAACCAGAAGGTCAAGCCCTCTTTGAGTTGGTCTTACTCAATGATGTTATTAAGTTCAAATAGGTTTACTGGATCTTTGCTCATCTTGATAACTCTTGACAACTCCTCCTCTTCCGTATGATTTAAGGGAAAAGATCAAATGATTACTCACAACAGTAAGATGCTAGTTTTTAAGAGCCTGTTTTTTATCATTGCTAGCTCTCTGGATGTGCAAACAACACTACGTTCAAATGTTTGGCAACCATGCAGAAATAGTTCATTGGAAGAGTCAGTGTTTAACCTCTTCTGTACAAGGCTACGAGATACGCTAGCATGAACAGTTTGCACTAAGTTTGAACATTTACAGCATTAGCAAGAACATTCATGGGAAAACAGTAACTAAAGGGATAAAAACAACAATCAAGGATTTCTTTCTACACTTTCCATTGCTGTTGTCAGTCTCTGCATTCTGCATGAACTCTTATCGGTGTGACCCTGATCCATTAGCACACGTTTCAACCCACAGACTTCTCATGCCTATCTCACGGACATTCCAGATCAGTCTGGCCTCCATACTAGAGATCTATAGGAGGTTCAGGCCGACCAACCGCCAAGATAACTGGCCATATGACACCTCCAGGTGGAGCCAAGAACAAAACTGTGGATTTACAGGGAGAGGGGGATGTCAGAAGAGGAAACCAGGGGATCTTAAGGACAAAGACCAAAGGAGGAGTTATACATCAAAGAGGAGGAATGTATCAGAAAAGACGTGGAGGCAAAAAACAGGACCCACTTGACATTTTGATCATTGAGCATCTGAAAGCATTCATGTGTGCAGGCGACTCTGTGTGTCTGTGTATACACAAGCTTTCACCAATAAAAACCATGTGGTAAGCCAATTAGCTCTAGTGTGTGCGAAGGACTCACCGCTTTCACTCTTCTCGATTACGTCCACCGTCTCTCCAGCCTTCAGGCTGATCTCAGAGTTCTCCTGCCGCTCGTAGTTGGCCACCACCACGTACTGCTCCAGCACCATGGGCTCACTGCTGTCCGGTCCTGCCAGTGAAGGGAAGAAACAGGCTGTCAGCCACCGTCCCGCCATTCCCGCACTTCCCCCGCCAACCCTGCCCTGCCAGCGACCTCCGGCTTGACCCCTGTACACCGCCATCCGCACTCCGCAGCCTAGCGCAAATCAAACTCCTGCTGACTGTGCATGCTCCGCAATGACGGGCCATTTAGACGAACCTTCGTCCTCGCTGGACGCGCATTTGAATGGGGGGAAAGCAAGATTACACAAAAGCAAGGTGAGGTAGACTTCCTTCAGGGACTCGAGAGCTCGATAAGGTCTTGGTGATGCTGGGTCTCCATAATACAGTGAAGGTTTTTGGGAGGAAGCAGGGAGGAATGTAAGGAAGGGAAAAGAGGCTGGGAGAAAGCTGTTTACAGTAGGGGATGTGACTTGCGAGTGGAGGGAGAGAAAGTTTTTCTTCAACAGACGAGCAAGAACAGGCCTCCCTCCCTCTCTCCTGCCCTCCCTTTCTCGTTTTTCAAACTCTCTCTCTCTCTCTCTCTCTCCGTCCCTCCTCCCATCTGGCTGAAATGGGGAGAGAGAAAAACGCCAATCAGACTGCTCTCCAAGCCTTAAATAGAAACATATGAGTGGGCCGAGTAAAGAGAGAGAAGCTGTGTTTAAGTGAAACGCAAAAAGAAAGCATTTCAGCTGGGGTTAAGCCACGCTCTCTTTCTCTATCCTTCTCTCTTTCTTTTTGTATTTCCTCTCACAATCTCTTTAACCGGTTCTTCTTCATCAATGACTTAAAGACATCATTAGAAAATTCTGTAATTATTTACTCAGCCTTATGTTGTCCTAAACCTGTATGACTTACTTTATTTTCTAAAACTCACAGTAGGATTTACA